TCCCAGGGGACTCCCCTGCAGTGCACCCCTTCTCTCAGGCCTTCCAAAAAAGGCTTACAATGCACAGAGGAGGGCCCTTCTCCTGGGTCCCCGCCCTCAACTAGCCCTTTCTCACTTTTCAGTGGCGCCTGCAGCAGTCTGACCCTGGCTGTCAGAGCCACTGGGGTAGAGTGTGCCCCGCTCTCTGAAAGCCTCCCGATCTGCCCAATCTAAACAATGAGGGACATACTCCCCTCACCCCCGCATCCCCCAACCAAGACACGTGGATTGGGTTCCGGGTCCCTAAGCCTAAAGTGGGGGGAAAGGTAAGGGAGGGTCTTCAGCCCTTACCAGTCTTCTCAGCCCCTCCCAGTTCCACAACTCTAGGATCCCCGCCCTCATTGACCCCAAACCCCATACTCCAAGCGTTCCCTTATGCCCACCCGCCAGGGTCGCCTCACCGGCCCTGCTAAGAGCAGCGGTTCTAGGTGCTTTCACCAAAAACATTTTTACTGCAGACATTTTGCCACATAACTAATTGGCCTTGAGGCAATTTTGCCATGAAAGAGAAAATAACTGGTTGACAGTTTGGTTTGACAGTTCGGTTTCAACTAGTTGAGATGCGCTAGCGTTTCTTCCAGTTAGTGACGTTACTGATGGCTTTATCAAGCTGACAGAAGATGATGGTTTTCCCCAAGAGTTGGTTTTGTATTTTGAAACACACTAAGTTGGAGGAGAAAGAGGTCAAGGGCCTCAAAGGCACAGAGTTGAGCCTACATTTCCCATAGAACTTTTTGGAAAGTCTATCAATGGACGTAAGACAATGTGCTGAGAGCACACAGCAGTGCAGAGGCTCTCCCGACGCAACACAAAGTTCAGTTATAAACATGCACCCTGGGCTTCCCTGGTGGCACAGTGGTTGAGAGTCCGCCTGTCGATGCAGGGGACACGGGTTCGCGCCCCAGTCCGGGAAGATCCCACATGCTGCGGAGTGGCTGGGCCCGTGAGCCATGGCCGCTGAGCCTGCGCATCCGGAGCCTGTTGCTCCGCAACGGGAAAGGCCACAACAGTGAGAGGCCTGCATACCGCCAAAAAAATAAAAATAAAAATAAAAAAAAATAAAAAACATGCACCCTAGTGTTCGGAAACTGATACCTCTCTGAATGAAGGAAGACATTTTAGCAGAAAAGAAAAAGTTCGATACCAAATGAGGAGACGAATCAACAAATGTATAAAATAATATAAACGAAAGACTTGGAAGACAAGTGCTTACTGCTTAGACAAGTACAACCCACAAAAGAAAATCAGTTCTTTGCACGGTATTGCCATGCATCTACACACATTTTATTTATTTATTTATTTATTTTTAATTTTTGGCTGCATTGTATCTTCATTGCTGTGCACGGGCTTTCTCTGGTTGCAGTGAGCGGGGGCTACTCTTCGTTGCAGTGTGTGGGCTTCTCACTGCGGTGGCTTCTCTTGTTGCAGAGCACGAGCTCTAGGTGCACGGGCTTCAGTAGTTGCAGCACACAGGCTCAGTAGTTGCGGCACGTGGGCCCTAGGGCACACGGGCTTTAGTAGTTGTGGTGCGTGGGCTCAGTAGTTGTGGCACACGGGCTTAGTTGCCCCTCGGCATGTGGGATCTTCCCGGACCAGGGATCGAGCCTGTGTCTCCAGCATCGGCAGGCAGATTCTTAACCACTGCACCACCAGGGAAGTCCCTACACACATTTTAAATTCAAATATTTTATATTTTACAATAAGGTCTTTTTAATTTTGTTACTCATTTCTCCTGTTTCATTATGGCCTTTTTAATGTCCCTCATTTATACTTTATTATTTTATCTTTTTCGGCAAAATTGACTTATGGACAATTAGTTATGCGGCAAGAAATGTGGCAAAGGCATCTGTGGCAAAGATGCTTACAGTGGAAATAGCAGACAAGGCTAACAGTAAGCTGTAGGCAGAGAGGCCCATGTCAGGATGCACCTGCCGGCTCCTTAGAGGTCCTCCCGCCCGCCTGCCCGCTCATCACGGGGGCAGAGGGGCAGGAGCCCAGGGAACCCCCTTAGTGCGCAGTGAGCGGGCACCCAGGCACCTTCCTCGCTGCCCCGCCTGCCATGGGGTTGCTTCTGGGAGAGTCACACAGGAGAGGAGACAGCAGCCTCAACCCCAAAACAGACGTGGGATGGGGAGGGCCACCTCAGCCTGGTGAGGCGCTGATGAGAGGGGGCTTCTGGGGCACCTGAGCCCCTCGCAGAAGCCTCTCCTCCCCACGCCCAGGCCGCAGTCAGCCGTCTCCCCTCCTAGCTCACAGCTCTGCAGAGTGAGGTCACTGCTGAGGACGTGGCGAATGTCAGCCTGTGCTCCAGGCCCTGAACGCTGCCTGTCCCTACATCCCCAGTGGGTGAAAGGAGATGGGGTGGCAGCGGACTTGGTGGGCTGTGTCCCATTGTAGGCCCCACTGTGCCCTGGTACCAATCCCAAGGTAGATCCTGGTGCCCACACCCCTACCCACACCCCCACCGTGGCCCGAGCCTTCCCAACTGGCTTTTCCTGTTCCCGGCTTTGTGTGGTGAAAGTTCCCCAATTATACCCACATTATCTCAGCTGCTGGGCAGCCTCCAGCAGGCTTGGTGAGTAGAGGCTGGGCGTGTTGGAGGGAGCACCCACTTACCCTGCTGGAAGGCCTAGGGCTTAGCCGCTTGCCAACTGGCCAGTCAGCAGGAGTACTGGGCTTACTGGCCCACTGACTTCACTGTGCGTCTGTGTCTGGGGTGAGGCCACAGCTGGGCTGGGCTGCAGTTCAGGGAATCAGACTGGCCAGAAGGGACCATTGGCATCGTGGAGTCCAGCCTGCTCCCTTACAGGGGAGGAAAAGAGGGCTCGGGAAGGGGAAGTGACCCGCCAAGGTGCCAGGGTGAGCTCAAGACGGAGCCGGGCTAGAAGCCAGCCCTCCTGACCCCCTACTGGGTGTCTCCGGCATGGTTCTCCCACCAGCCCACAGTGTTCTCCACCAGGGACATGTCAGAACCCCCCAGACCGGCCAAGGGGACGGCTGGAGGGGTGGGGTAGTGGTACCCCAGGTGGACCTTGAAGGGCTGTGTGGACGTGAGCGGGCATAGAGGAGGGAACCATCAGGGAAGCTTTCAGAGCGTGGCGAGGGCCTAGCTTGGAGGGCCAAAGATGTACTTATTCAGCAGGCATGTCTTGAGTGCCTACTGTGTGCCAAACACAGGGGATACCGCAGTGCCTGGAGAGACCTGGCCTGTACCTTCTTGAGGGGAGGCGTGGGGGCCAGCATACTTCACTGACCATGGTCTCGGGACCCTTCAGAAGAGTCTGGCCTGCTCACACCTCCATCACGCAGAGGCAGGCATAAGCCCCGAGTTCCTAGTCTGCAACAGCAGACTCCCTTAGTTGGGGGTGGGGGGGGCGCGTTTAGGCCATCCCTCGGGCTCTGGGTCAGTCCAGGGCCTGAAACTGATGTTACTGATGGCACTCAATAAAGTAACTGAGTGAAATAAGAATGGAAGGATGGCTGATGACAGAGCTCAGGAGCGAGCCCACTGGAGTGAATGACTGAGCCAAGTTCAGAGTTAAGGAAAAGCTCAAACAGAAGCCACTTGAGATGGAATAAAGCAAAGTCGGTCGGGAGACTAGAGGGAATTGATTCATTCATTCGATGCCACTGATCACTCCCTCCCTCTTGCAAACCTCTCCTCTCACGGCTTCCGGTGCCATTTGTCTGGCCACAAATATTTACTGAGCACCTACTGTGTGCCAGATAATGGGCTAGGCGCTGGGGCTACAGGGATGGAAAAGACACAGACGCTGCTCTGGAGGAGCTCGCCGTCTGGCAGAGGAGAAGCCAGAGGTGTCAACAACCACATTCCCAGGCAGAAAAGAGCTGTAATAGGGTTGGGAGGATCAGGGAGGCTTCCCAAAGGAGGCGGCCTGAGTGGGATATCCATAGGTGGGAAAGGGGCAGGGCCTTCCAGGGAACGAGAGGAACAGGCCTAGACACGTAGCATCTACGGCTCTGTGCTCCTTGGAGGCTGGGACTGAATCGCTCATTGACGTGACTCCAGTGCTGATAATAGACTCAGAAATTGATACCTAAATGGGAAGAGGGAGAAGGAAACACAGAAATATGGCACGTTCTGAGCAGGGGTCCAGTCTGACCCGGTTGGAAGGCCTCATGTATGGAGAGACGTGGACAGAAAGGCAGGACCCAGGTGATGAGGACGTCAGATGCCAAGTTAAGACATCCAGGCTTGATTGTGAAGGCGAGTTAGAGCCAGAGAGGCGGAGCCTCGTGCAGCCGCCTTGCTGGGTAAGAGGGGCCAAGCCAGTGCACCCCAGGGCCCGGGCCCTCAGCCCTTCCTGAGTGGAGGTGGCCATAATGATGGCCACTGTGGGCCCCGGTGCTCCCCCAGCGCTTCCTGCCTCCTGACACTTTCTCATCCGTCGTACCATTTGGTTCTCCTAGCAACCTGTGAGCTAGAGAGGACTGCATTACCCGCCCCATTTATCAGACGAGGGAACCGAGGCCCAGGAAGGTGAAGCAGCTGGTGGCTCCTCTGCTGAGCCTCTGCTCAAAAAACAGCACATTCAACCCTCCTCAAAAATCAGGGTGTGGACGGTATTTACTGCCATGGAGCGACACTGATGATATATCACTAAGTGAAAAGACAGTTTATGGAACAGATTACGGTACGCTTCTGATTTTGTGTAAAAAAACCGGATGGTTACCTGGATATATAGAGAAGAATGTAAAAGAGAACACTTCCTATCAGATGATCAGTGATATGTCTGAGTGGTGGGATCACGGGTTGTTGTCGTTTTCTTCTCAGTATATTTTAGTATTGCCCACAACAGTGTTTCTATAACGAGCAATTACTATTTTAGAGTCAGAATTTTTAAAATAATGACTACTGGAAAATAGAAGACCAGTGCACAGGGAGTTGGGGCGGGGGCTGTGGCTGTCCCTGAACCCCCTCTGCCATCTCCCTCGACCAGGCGCCCACACCCAGGTGGTCCAGGTGAACGACTCCATGTACGGTTTCATCGGCACGGACGTGGTGCTGCACTGCAGCTTCGCCAACCCGCTGCCCGGCGTGAAGATCACCCAGGTCACGTGGCAGAAGGCCACCAATGGCTCCAAGCAGAACGTGGCCATCTACAACCCGGCCATGGGCGTCTCGGTGCTGGCCCCCTACCGCGAGCGCGTGGAGTTCCTACGGCCCTCCTTCACAGATGGTACCATTCGCCTTTCCCGCCTGGAGCTGGAGGACGAGGGCGTCTACATCTGCGAGTTTGCCACCTTCCCTGCTGGCAATCGAGAGAGCCAGCTCAACCTCACAGTGATGGGTAAGCTGACCGGACCACTCCTCCCTGCTTGGGTCGGGCCTGTGGCCTGGGGGCTTGGCCACCTTCAGTGGCCCCAGATGCGCTCCTTGGGTCGGCACGTGCTCTGGGCTTGGCACCTCTGGCCTCTTCTCACCAGGCTGTCTCAGTTCACTAGGGATGGGGGCTGGGCCTTCGCTGTGGACAGAGCTGAGGATCAGTATTCAGGTTGGAGCCCCACCGTGGGGCACTTCCCAGGTGGCCAGGAAGCAGGCAGACGCCATGGTAAGGGAGAGTGCCTCCTGAGCACAGCAGGACTCCAAGAAGACTTCCATGTGACAAAAGGGGATACAAAGACTAGAGCAGGAAGGCTGCGGGTTAGACCCGAAGAGGTCCCTGTGAGAAGTGCTGGGAAGGGCTTCGGTGAAGCGTAGCTGACAGGCATGGACGGCCAGGGTGACCTGAAGCAAGGCCTGGCAGGTACCTGCCCTCCTGGCCTGTGTGTCCTTGATGAGGCAACAGAGCCAGACTCATGGCTGTCTCTGGTTCCCCGCAGCCAAACCCACCAACTGGATAGAGGGCGCCCAGGCAGTGCTTCGAGCCAGGAAGGGGCAGGATGACAAGATCCTGGTGGCCACCTGCACCTCGGCCAATGGGAAGCCTCCCAGTGTGGTGTCCTGGGAAACGCGGCTGAAGGGTGAGGCGGAGTACCAGGAGATCCGGAACCCCAATGGCACGGTGACCGTCATCAGCCGCTACCGCCTGGTGCCCAGCCGGGAAGCCCACCAGCAGTCCCTTGCCTGCATCGTCAACTACCACATGGACCGCTTCCGGGAAAGCCTCACCCTCAATGTGCAGTGTGAGCGGGGCAGAGTGTCGGGGGGCTGGGTCTCCCGGGGTGGGGCAGGCGCCCTGGTCCCCTCACACCACCCCCACCCTCGCCAGCCCTCCCTCCTTCGCTTCTCACCTCTCATCACTCTCCCCACCCCTCCTTCCCTCACCCCCTTATCCTTCCTCTTTTCCTTCCTCCTCCCTCTCTCTTTCTGGGGGTTCTTCGTCCTCCCCTCCTCTTCCCCCTTTGCCCACCCTCTCTTTCCCCCTTCCTCATTCCCCTGCTGTTTCTGCTCCGAGGGTCCGTGACCTCCACCCTCCCTGTCATTCTACCCCCTCTTCCTGCTGTTTCCATGTCACTTCCCCTTCCATCCCCTCCCCATCAGAGCCTCCCTCACCCAAGTTCTGCTCTCCTGACCTCACCCTTTTCAAACATCACCTCTTGTCCCACAGACGAGCCCGAGGTGACCATCGAGGGGTTTGATGGGAACTGGTACCTGCAGCGGATGGATGTGAAGCTCAAGTGCAAAGCTGATGCCAACCCCCCAGCCACCGAGTACCACTGGACCACGTAAGTGCTGCGGGGCTGGCTGGTCGCTTTGCCAGGAACCTTGCTGGTCACAGGGAGGCCCACCCACCCCACCTCCAGAAACCTTGGGCAGAGAGGAAATGAAGGTCTAGGCTCAGGTGCTCGGTGAGAAGGGGAGAGGGGCCATGAGAGACACGCACACACACGCACACATACAGCCCCTTGTTTGACAGCATCAGGGTCCGTGGGACAAACCATTCTGCCAGGGGGGCTTCCCTTGTGATCTGCCTTCCTTCTGCTCCCTAATAAAGAATGCTGTGGTGATTCAGTTTGAGTCACTCCCACCCCAGCCCCCACTATTTATTTTTATCGAGATGTCCCCAGGGAAGCTGGCTTTCTGGAGGATCCCAGATCTTTCTTTGTTCCTTTTCCTTCTCTCCAACACCCCCAGATTCTCAGGGAAGAGGCAGCAGTCAGCCCAGAATGCCTGTGTTCATAGAGTGCTCGTCCCAAGGCCCATCCTCCCATTCTTGGCTTCGTGGTCTTTGGGCCTGGACCTCAAAGGGTCTAGTCTCACTCCACCCCGAGCCAGCTCTGATGGCCTGAGCCAAGGTTCCTCCCAGAGAAGAGCTGGATGGGACACACAGAAAGCAGAAAGACAGGGGCGTGGGGAAGCTAGGAAGCAGGTTGACATGGGTGGCCAGAATACGGCTGCCCAGATCGTGTCTACGTTCTTTTTCTAGGGAGTAGAAGGCACTGACGTACCTTAACTGTTTGTTACCATCCACTTCCTGGAACCAGAAGTAGTTCCGGAGGTGCGAGTGGGCAGGGCTCTGCTTGCCAAGTTCAGCTCCGGGTCCAACAGAATAATAGTTTTGTGGCATGAAGGATCAGGAGGAAGGAAAAGGTCTCCTGTGTTCAGGAACCTTCTAGGACTCTCCCCCTGTGAAAAAGACCTGTGACATGCCCAGCAAGAAAATGAGCCGGTGAGATGGAACATAATTCCTAAACGTGGGTCACATCTCGTTACCTGAGTAACTTGTTAAAATTCTAGGCAGTGACCCCAGTGCTGCAGCTTTAGTAGATTTGGGGTTAGGACCCCAGACTATTAACCAGCTACCCAGGAAACCAAGGAACCAGTGTGGTGGAAAGAGCACTGTGCCGAGAGTCCAGAGCTCTGGCTAGAGCTCCAATTGTCACTTTCTAGCTCTGTTTCCTTGGCCTTGAACCTTGTTTCTCTTCTGTTAAGTGGAACCAGTATCTGCCTGTCCTGTCTGCATGTCAGTGCTGTGATGAGCAAATGTGAAACACTGAATGATTGTTGTTTTTGATTGTTTTTACCCCTTCCGAGACAGATGCTGCCTAGTAACTCAGCCAAAGGGCTGACGGTGTTGAAGTCAGGTGGGTGACACAGGGGCAGCTTCTCGGGGCTGGAGAGTCATAACCCTCTGCCTTGTCTCCCAATCCCTGCAGGCTGAATGGCTCCCTCCCCAAGGGTGTGGAGGCCCAGAACAGAACTCTCTTCTTCAGGGGACCTATCAACTACAGCCTGGCAGGAACCTACGTCTGTGAGGCCACCAACCCCATCGGCACCCGCTCGGGCCAGGTGGAGGTCAATATCACAGGTAGGAAGCTGCCCCCTTCCCTGCCACTCCCCGCCTCTCTGCGCCCACCGCCTCCTCCACTGCCAGCATCTACCGCCTATGGGCTGTGTCACTGTAGGAAATTTGCGTCTCCTCTCCCTGCTTCTCTGGTTCTCCCTTGAGCTCTAGCCACTGGTCTTGCTTTGCTTTTCTCTTTCCTCTCTGAAGGTTGTGTGTGAGACAGGGTGACCCCCCCCCGCCCCCGCCAGTCAGAGAGGGGCGGGAGGGAGGCTCCAGGAGAGAGGGAGGAAGTGCTGTTTACAGCAATGCTGTTTTGGGGGTGGGCGTGGTTAGAGCCTGCCCATGGGTCTGCACACCTGTGATGCTGCCTTGGTGGGGTGGACTTGTGGGAGGAGCTCATCTCCTCCGAGCTTTGCTCCTGCAGTTCAGGAAACCTGCGTGGGCTGGAGGGCGAGGCTTACCTCAAGCAAAGATACAGAGGGAAAGCCAGGCTAGAGCCCAAAGCCATGGTGGTGTGTGTGCCCTGCAACTGAATTGCTATTTTCCCTGCATTTTTCTCTCTCAGGGCAGATGGGAGGGAGACTCAGCCTCCTGACCTCTTAGAGCAAAGGGAACACAGGGGCTGGGATGTTCTGGGGGAGACATCACATGGAACGTGAAAGGAGCATGGGCTTCCGTGTCAGACAGCTGGACAAGCCGTCATCTGTAAAACGGGCACAGTATGACATGCCTTGAAGGCTTGTCGTCAGAATTTATATAACGTAGGCCAAGCACCTAGTACAGACCAGTGTGTCAATAAATGGCTCGTGTTATTATCTTGTCTCTGTCATTATCATTATTAATGGAAAGATCAAAACAAGCCAACAGAGGGATAAAGTACCATCACAACTTCGCAACCAGGGTGTCTTTAACCCTGTATCTGAGCTAGTTCCAGGGTGAGAAAGTGACAGAAAGACCCTCCTAGGACAGGAAGTGACATCATGCTGCTACTGAGCTGGACAGGAAGTGACCTCAGAGAGATGTTGAGCTAGGTTCAGGGATACTGGATGTTGGCCGGCGGTTCCTGGCTCCAGGCACAGAGCTTGGGCAAGTCCTGAGGATTCACTAGCTCTGAGCCTGTTTCTCAGAAGTGGGAGCCCTCACCTGTGGGTACATTCAAGGCACAGCTGCTGATAAAACAGCCCGAAGCTGTCCGAGGGCTGCACCCACCTGTCCTCGGGGCTGTTCTGTCACCTCTGTCACCAGGGTTGGAAGGAGATGGAGTCACTTGTCACTTGCTCTTTTCTTCAACTCCCTGCTCTGGGCTCTCGGACTGGCTAAGGTGGTAGAAATGTCAGAGGGAACACACAGTTTTCAAGGCATGAGCCCACTGTGTCCCCCTTTGCCTGGCAAAGCGATAGAGCTCTTCTTTTCTACTTAACCCCCACCCCCTAAAAAAAAGAAATGTCAGAGGTGGAGCCTGGGGAAAGCTGAGACAGCCCCTCCCCCACTCTAGGGTCTGGGCGTTCCCGTAAGTTGGCAAGGATGGTAAGGCCAGTGTCACACACCTCTCGCCCCCTGGAGAAAGTCTGAGCAAAGCTCCGTAAGAGCCTCCTGGGCGCCTGAGCTCTGGCCATGTGGCACATGAGCGTGAACAGTGTCATAAGGGAGCGTGACCACCTGGGGGGATGGGGGTCATGTGAGGGACAGCACAGACTTGGCCTGAATGTGTTCACATACTGGCTCTTCCTGGCTGTGTGGCCTTCACCGCTCTGAGCCTCAGTTTCCTAGTCTGTAATACAGAGATCAGCATACTTACCTCAGGCTTCTTTTGATCACGCCAAGTCCGTATACCACGGCCTAGCACACAGCATGGACTTCCTGCATGGGAATACCTTCACCCAGCAGTGGAGCACCAACACCACCGCCGCATCCCCCTCCACCACTCAGGCTCTCTGGGGAAACTGCTGATTGGGAAATCAGGGGCGGAGGCCAAGAAACCCTGGAGCAATGACCTCCCATTGATCCCACTGCCCAGCACGAGCGGACCGGCCAGAGGCCCACGAAGCTTACAGGGCTAAGTGGTGCTGCCCTACCCCAGAGGCAGGGCCGGGACAGGAAAGTCAGGGCCTCCCTTCTCCCAAAGCCCAGGAGAATGCAGGACCACCGTGAGCGCAGGACTGCTCAGCAGGCAGCCACAGCAGGTCCAGGAGCAGGGAGGAAGGAAAGGGAGCAACTTCCCAGGCCCAGGCTGGGAAAAGAGAGGAAAGGAAGGTAGGGAAACCAGCGTGGAGGTGAGCCAGCTCCTTGGGCGTGTTTGCTCCAGTGGTGCCCTCAGTGGGATCTGTGGTCAGGCCTAGGTGGCCTTGCGGGGAAGGTGGGCCGGGGCCGCGCAGGGCTCCAGCTGGAAGAGGTATGCAGCGTGTCCTTGCGTGCTCCCCAAATACAGAGCGGGATGGGGCTGGTCACCAAAGCCACACACATGGGTGGTGAGAAGGGCCTTGCGTAAGGGGACTCTGTCGTTGACAGCCCAGTTAGGCAGGAGCCAGGGAAGTGTGATGCTCCCTGAATCATCGATGGGCCCAGGAGCTGTTTCACTGGCCGTCCCGAGGGAAGGTCTCTCAGCCCCCTCAGGAAGACTCAGCCAGGCGGCCTGAACCTTTTCAGAGCTGTTCGCTCTGTTCACTCTCGTGCTCACGGGCAGCCGCCGACCCCACCAGCCTTCCTCCCGCATCGGCTGGTCTCCGGGGGGCACAGCCATGCCCTGTGCTCCAGGCCCCGCTGGTCTGGAGGGAATGCATGAACGAGATGGATAAGTGGAAATTTAATTTTTCATTCTGGCCGTCGTACAGGTAATAGCTTTGCCCTGGGCGCATCTGGTGAGGGAAATGAAGAGCAGAGCAGAGGAAGGCGTGCAGCAGGGTGCGTGCCAGAGACACACGTGTGTGCAGGGCACACCTGCACAGGCAACTTGGGCACAGGCTCCTTGGGATCACAGATCCCGGAGGAGATGGCCTTTGAGTTGTTCCTCGAAGGATGAGTGGTGGGTGAGCCGCGGCGATGGAGGAAGTGTGTGGGAGCAGAGTGGCTGGGGCCGAGGGGGCGGGGACAGAGGGAGCAGAGCTTCCTCTCTGTTGGCCACGGGCGCCCTCCGAAAGCAGCAGCGTGGCAAGGAGGGTGGTCGAGACTGAGCGCCTGGGAGGCTGCGTGGATAGCACCTGGGGGACCAGTAAGGGGCTGTATGTACAAGGAGTGTTTTTCTAGAGGAAAACGACAGGTCCAGGCTGTGCCCGTGCGACTGACAGCAGAAGAGACAAACCCACCGGAATTTGCGGATACACTTCACGGGGCCCGGGCCCGCAGAGAAGCCCATTTCCCAGGGGCGGTTTCATGGGGTTGGCCCCTAGTCACAAAACAAACCTGTGAGCTCCCCTCCGTCCTCCCTCTGGGGGCAACGCTGAGGACGGGGAGGGCTGCGAGGGTATGGCCTTGACCAGACGAAAGAGGGCAAAGAAGGCAGCATCTGTCCCTGGGACTGGGTTTGTCCAGAGAAGAGTGTCCAGGGCACTCCCAGGAGCCAGGCAGGAAGGCCACCGGGGTGCAGGGTGTCCCCAGTTTCCATTTCCAGCGCTGAGCCGGCTCAGCCACCGGGGGTGAAGGCAACAGGGTCTGCGCTTCAGGCCGGGAGTTCTTCAGACCAAGGGCTGGTGGGGCTTGGAGGTCCATCTAGAAGGGAGGGCTATGTGAGCCTGCGAGCGTGCGTGCCCGGGCGTGCGTGTGGGCGTGTGCCTCTGAGCGTGTCAACGTGCACAGGCGAGCAGGCGAGCGATGTCTGCGTGCTGAGTGTGCAGAAGGGGCCCGCAGCTGTGCTGTGGGCAAATGTGGCCGCCTCCGGGCCGCCCGTGGCAGCACTGAGGAGCCTGTGGGGAGGCAGCTGCGTCCACACCCCTGGGAGGATTCAGTTCCCTTCCACCGCGATGAGGCCCTGCCCACTGGTCTGCGCAGTGCACGGCTGCTGCAGCTGCAGGAGCAGGAGAAGGGCTTCCCAGAGCTTGACCTCAGGCCTTCCCCCCTCCCTGGGCCCGCAGCACTGCACACTGGGAGGTGTAGTTCTCACAGCTTCCCGGCCTAGGCTTCTGGTGCCAGAGCACTGCCTGCCTGCCTGCCTGCGGAAGCAGCAGGCGTTGGTTTGAGAAGCCCGAACATTCTCTTTGACCTCAAACCTCCTCTGGATCCTAGAACCAGACTAAACCCTAACCCTCGCTCCACTTCCCATCCATCCAAAGCCCCCGTACTAGCCCACCCACCTCAGTCAGGAGACCCCCGGCCCCAAAGGAATGCGGAGCCTCCACTGCCCCAGGGTCCCAGCCAGCCTGCCATCCCTGAGGGGAGGCTGCAAGCCTTCAGCAATGGGGCTGGGCTGCCCCCTTCGTAAGAGGAAGTGAGGGGAGCCGGCTGGTCCCCCACCAGGAAGCGCAGATGACCCCACGGCCCAGCTCTTCTCTCCCACCAGCTGCGGCTTTGAGGCTCTGCGACTGGCACAAAGACGGGAGCTACTGGCTGAATGTGACAGCTGGAGGGGTGGAAGGGGAGGGCGCTCCGTTCCACACCAGACAGCCACCTCTGCTTACAAATGAGTTAGGTCCCCACGTGCACTCCTTCTGCACCCTCACTTGGCATCTCCACACAAGTCTGCGTTGCTGGAAGGTCACCTTAACCGGTCTTCTGCCTCTAGGCAGGCTGGCCCTAAAGTAGGCAAAATAACCAGGGTTCCCTTTGGTCCCAAAAATCTCCAGGGAAGAGTAAACATACTTAGGACTCAGGTGGGGAAAAGGTAAACAGAAGGCCCTAGAGAGGAAAGAGACCCAGAGGCTCCCCTCTGAGACATGGCCTTGCCTTTGTAGAATTCATTCACCAAATGTTCTTGAACTCCGACCACGTGCCAGGCCGTCCAGGGGGCGGGGGCTACATCAATGAGCCAAAGTCCCTGTCCCCGTGGAGCTTACGCTTTAGCACAGGAGGACAGACAACAAAGATCAGATAAAACACGTTTGAAAAGTCATGTGGTCATTTTGAAGGAGATCAGGAAAAAAGAAAAGCAGGGTGAGGGGTTCACAGTGCTGGGGGCGGGAGTTCGTGAGCTGTGATTTTCGATGAGGTAGTCAGGGGAGGCCTTGGCGAGAAGGTGACCCCTGTGAGAAGTTGGAGCCAAGCCCCGAAGGCGTCGAGACAGTGAGCATGGGACACCGGGGGGAGGAGCTTTCCAGGGTGCAGAGCCGCCAGTGCAAAGGCCCTGAGGAAGCTGGGAGTGGAGCGAGCTGGGAGGAAAGCACGAGATGAGGGTAGAGGCACAGATCATGCAGAGCATTTTCAGCTCAGGTTTAACAGGATCTTCGTGGCTGCCGTGCTGAGAACAGCCTGTACAGGGAAGGAGTGGAATTGGGGAAGCCAGTTAGGCAGCTACTGCAACCATCCAGGTGAGAGATGACAGTGGCTGGGATCAGAGTAGTAGTGATGGAGATGGTGAGAAGAGGTCAGGTTCGAGATTTACTTTGAATTCGAATTTACAGACTAGTTGGGACAGCAGCCACTCTCGTGAAACAGGCAATACAGTAAACTCTACCATACTGTGATTAGTGGGGCCCAAAAAATGCAGTCTAGTCAAGTGAAATGTAGGAGGGATTTACTTCTCCTTGGGTCTCTGTTGCTACTGAAGGCATAAAAGTAAATATAGTTGAACTAATATTGTACACAATGGGAACACGCCGAATTGAGTCGGTCCCAAATTATCATGACACTGCCGCTTCCTCAACCCCTCTCCCTGTTCCTGCAGAAGAAAAGAACTTTAGCCGCTTGAAAACTGGCAGAAGGACCAGAGCCAATCATGGTAGATCCTAATTTGCATTTACTGTGGGTTGTTCTATCAGGCCTTACTGTGATATGTCAGTATATGATTAACGAAATGGAGTAAGCTATTGTTTATACCAGAAGGAAAGCTGCAGACCACTGGTATGTAAACATTCTAAAGAGAAAGAGAAGTGTGAGCTGGAGAAGAGAACGCTGCACAAAGAAGGGACTGAAGCACTGAAATAGGCAGAAGGAGATGAGGAAGGGCATTCCTGGCAGGGGAAACAGCGTGAGCAAAGGTCTGCAGTAAAGAATCTACTTGGGGGCTTCCCTGGTGGCGCAGTGGTTGAGAATCCGCCTGCCAATGCAGGGGACACGGGTTCGAGCCCTGGTCTGGGAAGATCCCACATGCCGCGGAGCAACTAGGCCCGTGAGCCACAACTACTGAGCCTGCGCATCTGGAGCCTGTGCTCCGCAACAAGAGAGGCCGCGATGGTGAGAGGCCCGCGCACCGCGATGAAGAGTGGCCCCCGCTCGCCGCAACTAGAGGAAGCCCTCGCACAGAAACGGAGACCCAACACAGCCCAAAATAAATAAATAAATTTAAAGGAAAAGAATCTACTTGGACAGCAAGAACGGTGAGTTGGCCAGACCCAAGATCAAGTTGCGTGATGGAAGCTTTGAAGACCAGACTGACGTGGTCCAACAGGCAATGGGGAAGTCATTGCTAGTCTTTTGAGAAAGGGAATGGTAGTGTCTACACAGTGAAAATTAACCTGGTGACTGTGGATGGAGTGACTAAAGGCGGGGCAGAGACCAAATGAAGGTGGGAGATTCACGGATCTGCTGTAAAAGTAAAACCTGGTGTCAAGTGAGAAGCCATTGAACAGGAAGAGCCAACAAGATTCGGGGGCAGATTTTGACCCAGGAGATGGAGAAGGAAGAGTCAAAGGTCAATAAGATTCTAAACTGGAAGAGCAGACAAATGATGGTGGAGCTGTGGTGCTGAATGGAGTGGGTTTGGAGGGAAGACGGTGAACCATGTTGGGAAGGATGGGCCTTGAGTGGGTGGAGAGAATTCCAAGTGAGGTTGTGCTAGATAGAAGAGTGTTCAAAGTGTGTCCCCAAATACTTCTCCTGTGAATGGTCTTTGAGGCAGGAGGCTGGGGTTTGTGTTCCAGTAGGCTGGGAAACTCTTTGTGTTCCTCTTACAGTCCACAGTGTGCATGAGAAGATGAAAGGGCTCCGATGCTCTGTCTCCACAGACATTTCCCGAAGCGTTTGACTCCAGTCAATGGCTTGAGGTTCCATGGCCAATGGCTTGAGGTTCCATGGCCACAGCTTGGGAACTGCTGTCCCAGAGGCCTTTGGAGATAAAGCCCCAGAGTTGGGGGAGAGCTAGCTACCCGAGATGGTTTGGAGAGCCAGCAGGATCAAGGGAACTCATGATACTGAGGCCAGGTCTGTCCCTAAGACAGAAAGCAGAGGGTAAGGTCCAAGGACGGAGCCCCCAGCCAGGCGGCTGGAGCAGAGAGAAGGCCCAGCAGTGCAGTCTGCAGACAGAAGGCTCCAAAAAGAAAGCTGAAGGTCAAGGACTCCTTGTATGTATTGGAAGGCAAAGGAAACATGTCAGAGAGGAAGGGCAGTTTCCTCCACCTGATGCCTTTCTTATTCCGCTGGCCTCTCCAAGTCCTAGTCATCCTTCAAGGCTTGGCCTAAGTCTTCTCTCCTCCAAGAAACCTTTTCAAACTCCAGGCCGCAGGACTTTCCTGCACTGCACTCCTGAAGCCCTTATCGGCCAGCGCCCTTGATGTCCACATGCTGCTTTGCCTAAGAGTGTCATCTGGTTCCTCAGCTGGGCTGTGAGTTCCTTGTATCCTGTGACTAGCGAAATAGATGCTCGGTACATGTTTGCTGAGTGGATGGGTGGGTGGGTGGATGGAGCGATGATGAGGCAGGTGGCGAGAGGAGAGAGCACACAGGTACGGGGTAAGAACTGAAGAGGGAGCCGGCAGGTTGAACGTACAGAGGTGGCTACGTTCCTGCCAGCTGCCTCTTGGGCATTTCTTGTGGCAACATCTCCCACCTCGCGGGAAGCAAGTGTGCAGCCCTTTTCAGGGCGGTAAACAGATGGGACCTGGTGAACCAGGAGAAGACGCTTGAGATTCAGGGAGACTGTTCTGGAAGTGGGCGGTGAGGACAAATATTCACTAAATATTTATTGGGCGGCCACTCGGTGACCTGCACTGAGGACACAGTGGTGACAGTGGGAAGCTGAGTCCTCAGTGGTCGTGCTTCTCTCTGCCAACTCCCGCCCGTGGAGAGGCCCGAGCAGGAGCCTCTGGGTGGTCCCAGCTCAGCCGTGTGACGCAGGCAGGTCGCCTCCCTTCTCCGGCCCCCGTGTTTAATTAGCCCTTCCAGCCCGAACTCGTGGAATGCCCTTCCTCTTCTCTTCTAGAATCCTTGCCCTGCTCCCGCTGCAGACAGCACCCCACAGGCTCACACACCAGACCGGCTCCACCTCTGGGAGGAGGGACTGGTCTCATAGGAGGAACAGGATTCCCACGGAGTGAGTGATGCTGAATCGGGGGGTGAGCTGGCAGAAACAGATTCCCAAAGGCCAGAACATATGCCCAGATTGACCGCCTCCCTTGGCCTGAAGAGAGGAGGGCTGAGAGCAGCCGAGGTCAGCCCTCCAGGCCTGCCCTGGACCTGCCCACCGGCTCCTCCTGTCCAAGGCCAGCCGTGGTCTCCGGTGCCACCCTGTGGTGGTGCTGGGAACCGCCTCCCTCAGCCTCACCTGGGGACCCCTTCGGCCTCTGGCCCGACCCCACTGGCAGACAGACACCGGCCCAGCCTTCTCTCCCTGCCCACCCACTTCCTTTCTCTTTTCACCTTTTCTGCCTTTTTGTTTCTGCTCTGTCCTCAGTGTGTACATATTTGTACACACACGTTCATCACATCAGCACGTGTGTGGGCCGGTCGTGACAACAAGGGTGTATGCCAGCACGCGTGCTCGCTCGTGTGTACTTGTCATCTTTGCTGCTGACGTACTCTCATGCGCCCTTTCTGCACAGCCGTGCTGAGCGTCTTGTGCTCATAGCCCAGCTTGGCTACACCCTGGCCCCCACCCTGCCCTGCAGGGCCAGACTGCAGCCAAGAACCACGGCCCGGGCGTCTGGCACTCACGGGGCATCTACAGGGCCAGCACCTCGGAGCAGATGAAATCAGGCGTGGGGCACCCGGTCTGCTCCAGGCTCCGAGTCTCAGAAGCCAAGGTGTGGTGCTGGGGCGCAGTGACGTTTGCACAGGCTTTCGGTGCAAGAGAATCAACGACGCGTCATTGGCTGATGGCCTCGGACAAGTTATTTGACTTCTCTAAGCCCCGCCTCTTCGTGTGCCGGAGGGAAATTAATAGCATACTTACTTCACGGGGTGTCATGGCGGTGACCGGCGTCTACTGGACCCTGGGTCGTGGGTGGGCTGGCTCCACATCCAAGGAGAAAGTCAGCATGGGGGCTCTGGGGCTACGAGGCTGTCTCTGCCTCTCCCTGGCCCCAGCTACCCACGCTGCAGCGTGTTGGGCTCCTGGATGGGTGGGGTGCTGGGGGGGGCCTTTGGAACTGGAGCTGGCCTTGGGCCCACTTCTTGGCTTTCCCTCCCCTGCCACCCCTGCTGACTCCCCAGGAGCAGACACTGACAATGTCCCCCTCCGTCTCTCTTCCTCACCCAGAGTTCCCCTACACCCCGTCTCCTCCCGAACACGGGCGTCGCGCCGGGCCGGTGCCCACGGCCATCATTGGGGGCGTGGTGGGGAGCATCATGCTGGTGCTGATTGTGGTCGGCGGGATCGTGGTGGCCCTGCGCCGGCGCCGCCACACCTTCAAAGGCGACTACAGCACCAAGAAGCACGTGTACGGCAATGGCTACAGCAAGGCCGGCATCCCCCAGCACCACCCGCCCATGGCCCAGAACCTGCAGTACCCTGAGGACTCGGACGACGAGAAGAAAGCCGGGCCCCTGGGCGGCAGCAGCTACGAGGAGGAAGAGGAGGAGGAGGAAGGCGGAGGGGGCGAGCGCAAGGCGGGCGGCCCTCACCCCAAATACGACGAGGACGCCAAGCGGCCCTACTTCACGGTGGACGAGGCGGAGGCCCGGCAGGACGGCTGCTACGGGGACCGGACTCTGGGCTACCAGTACGACCCGGAGCAGCTGGACTTGGCGGAAAACATGGTTTCTCAGAACGACGGGTCTTTCATTTCCAAGAAGGAGTGGTACGTGTAGCCCCGTCTGCAGAGCCCCTGCCCCAAGCCCACACCCGCACGCCCCCTGCCCGCCCCCCACCGTCCACTGCCCCAGGAGCTCGGCAGAGACTCACCCAGCTGCTCGGGGTACCTGGGAGCCCAGGGCACACGACCTGGCTTTGTTTTGATTTCCTCCCTGCCCCCCCACCCTCCCCCCTGGTGTGTGTTCACTGTGGCTTCGGTGTTGCTGGTACCTTTCCTCCCCTGACCCCACCTGCCTCCCTCCGCAGGGAGCCCTAGTCCCGTCTTGTGTACCTAGATGTCCCCTCCGGGGTTTGGGGAGACAGCCCTCCCCTGCCCCCAACACTGGAATTTGTCTGTGTCCTCTCTCTGCGCGTGGAGGGCTGAAGGGGCCCCAAGAGGAGACGCCCCCTGCCGCCGACCCCAGATGCTGCTCCTTTTTCCCCGGGAGAGGGAACCCGGCACCCCCTCCCCCATCCCACCGTGAGCTGGAGTTCGGACCCCGGTCGAGGCAGCCGTTGCGCCCAAGGGGGAGGGGAGGGGGGTGGCTTTTCTGAAGCATCCAGGGTTGTCTTTGTTTGTTAAGGGAATCAAGCTGAGGTCCCCACCTGAGGCCTTGGGCAGTGTGTTTACCTGCAAGGTTGGTTTTACATTTGTTTTCCTCATTGGCCTCCAGGGAGTTAAGGCTGCCCAGCTCTGGTGTGTCCCTCCTCTTTACCCCAGTCTGCTGCCCACATAGCGGGACTCCAGGTAGACTCTGGCCCACACTTCCCATACACTTCTACCAACACGTACACACACACACACACACACACACACACACACACACACACACACACACGCCGCTTATGTCTACCCCTGTGCTCCCCCTGGGGTCACATGCCTTACCCAGGCTGGACACTGCCCAAGGCCCACCTCTCTGCTCCACCTCTCCCCCTTCCTTCCAGCTGAGGATGGGGGCAGCCTTCAGAAGCTTCCAGTGAGAGCTGGCACTAGGCCCTTCGGTGCCTCCACCCTAGCATCTCAGGCTGGCTCTGAACTGCTCCTTATAGCGTGGAAGTTTCTTGAATTTCTCCCTATCAATCAAGTGCTAGCAATTCTTGATTCTCTTGGGGAGTCAGAGCTGGGATCCCAGAAGGGAATAACCTCCAGGAGCTACAGGTGAAGGAGGATCAATGCAGAGGGCACCGGAGAAGGAAGCCCGCACAGTAGGAGCTCTGCAAACACAGGCTGATAAGACTCTGCGGAGCACAGGTAGCTCCTGGCCCACAAAGGCCGATGCAGCTGCTCCGGGCCTGCCAGAAGGTGCGAGCGGAGCGGGGAGCCAGGGATCCTGAGTTGAAGCTCCTGCTCGCCACCCTCCCCGTCCCGCTTCAGCCATCGCCCGGTCTCCATCTGGATGAGGTGGGGAACCCTGGAGAAGCTTTCCCTTTGAGTTGTAGATTCCCTTCCTGAATGGGGCTCTGGGTCCCTGTCAATCACCGGAGACTGATGGTCTTCCCCAGGATACCATGGAGGAAGGCCCCGCCCAGCCCCTTATTTGCTCCCCCAGCTCCAAGTGCCTCAGTTCCTCCATTTGCCTACCCCATCCCCCCGGCACTCTAGATGGGAAAGACCCTGGGATGGGAGAGGCAGGTTCATGCCTGCCCATGAGGATTCCAGTGAACTCAGCCCAGGGTGCAGGGGCTCTGTGGGATGGCAAGTGTCGGGGGGAGTTAGGCAGACCACTCTGTGCCCCACGGGCACCAACCCACCCTGCCATAGGCTTCCCAAGGGAGCCGCCAGCCTCCCGCCCTACTCCTCCCCTCCCTGGTGCTGCTATGGGACCCCCAGCCAGCTCCATCTCTGCCCTGGCAACCCTGGACCCATGAGCTGGGTCACGCTCCTCCCCCCAGCCCCCACTGCCCTAGCCCCAGCCCAGACCACCCAGTAGCCACGTAGCAGAAGTCTGAAGCCATGCCAGCCCTGGGGCGGTACTCCCCTCTCTTGGCATTGGGAGTACTGGATGGGGTGGAGTTGGGAGAAACTTCTGGGGTCTTTCTAGCCACAGGGCAGAGGGGGTGGAGGAGCTGGGCTGCATCTCCCAGCAGTAGTAGTGTCCCCCCCCCACCCCAGGGCAGAGGACCTTTTCCATGTTACATCACTACCCATCCCACCTCACACCACCCTGGCCCCTCTGCTTGGTCCCCTTGCCCCCCAGGCAGGAGGAAATCCCAGGGGCCTGCCTGATAGAGGCATTCTCTGTCCCCTTGAAATCACAAGACTGAAAGGACTCTTCCTCTGTGTCTCCTTTATCTGCACTGCCACCCCCTCTTCCTCCTTATATGATGGACTTAGGAGGCCCCCGGGCCTAGCCAAAGCACTGAGTCCCCCTTAAGACACCTCCAAGCCCTCCCCTCCAGCAAAGCACAAATTGTGGGGTCCACGCCAGATGTGTGGGCCACGTAGAAGGCTCCTGCCTCGGCAGGGACCCATCAGCAGCGCGCCCAGCAGGGCAGCTGCTACCCGGGGCCAAGAGTCGGCACGAGGCTGGGGTCGGCACTTGGGCCTGGGGTGACAGGGTTTTCTGTGCCCCAAGTTTGTGGGGCGGTGGGTACTACTGCTGGGCCCATAGCCACAGCCGCTGGCACAGGGAAGGTCTGGCCCAGCAGAGAGACAAGGACGTCTTGCTTCTCCGTGCCCCCAACGTGAGCTGAGCTTCTGCCTTTGCTGGAAATGAAATAAACTTGGTCTGCATCGTGCCAAGGCCTCCCCACTTGTCATCCTGCCTCTTGTTGCCCTCCCCGTCCTTGCCCGCCCCCCACTCCACCAATACCCCTCTTTCCTTGAGATTTTGATATTGTTCTAATGTGTAACAACCCTCTGAGTCCCCTTTGATCAGAAGCATCTGAAGAGCAGCAGCGTGGAATCAGGGAACACAGGCGCGCACGTGCAGCCGCGTCAGGCCTGGCCCATGCGTGCACGAGGGCGCACACCCCCCGACAGACCCAAGCACAGGTGCCCCAGCCCCACAGACCTGCCAGGGGGCTGGGCTGGTCCTGCTGAAAGCCCTTCAGGAAAAACTGATTTCCCAGCGCTTGGGCCATAAGAGAGACTCACGGGGGCCCTGTTTCCCAGGCACGTGCCCCCATGCCAACCCCCTCCCGCGTGCCCGAGTCACTGGTGCAATAATTTTTCTGCCGTCCTCCAAGCAGAGGAATTGGTGATTGTGTCAGGTGGTGTGGGCAGCTCACGTGAGAGGAGGGGAGGGCTGCCAGGCCTCCCAGGGGCCAGACGGAGACCTTCTAGGCCTGACTGCCACCAGGAACCCTCAGGTGGGCCCCACCAGGCCCCAGGCCCACGGGGAGACGTGCCCAGGCCCCTGTGCCGTGGCCCAGGCGGTGAGGGCTTCTGGGACCTCGCTGCTGCAGCCCGATTGTACGGCCAGAGGAGCCTCTGCCCCACCCGTGCTGCTGCTTTTCTGACTCCTGCTGTGAGGAATGGGATTCTTGGCCGGAAACAAACAAACAAACAAACAAATGGTTTTCTTTTTTTGTATAAATGGAAACAAAATCCAGGAGAAGCTGCCCCCTCCCCTCCCCCCGGAGTGTGATGCACTACCTTTGCTTCAATTTCTTAGTCACTGTTTTCGTCTTTGGTCCCAGGGACGGCCCAGCAGATTCTCCTGGTTCTAACCCAGGGGGTGTTTGCATCACCCCCTTTTACTTGTATAAAAAAAAAAAATGATGGGTTGAAAAATGTACTTTTTTATAAATAAAGTCTTTAAAACAACCCCGGTTGCTTCGTGTCCCTCGGGAGCTGGGCCCTTCCCCACGGACCTGGGGGCAGGACAGGGTACGCGGGGATGAGCCGGCACCCTAATGCAAGGAAGGCAGCTTCCACCCCGGGCCCCGTTCCCATGGCTCTGGAACACTGACTCGGACCCCGGAGGAGCCCCCTGCCCAGGCCAAAGGAGCCCCAACCCGCCCTCTCGCGGGAGCCCCAAGGGCAAACGTGAGGGTCCTGCCTGAGTCCTCAGCACAGCTCCCGGGCTGCCACTGAACCGCCTTCCACACAAGTGGCACCACCGTGGACAGCTGCATCGGGAGGGGTTGGCCGCTCAAACACAAGCAGGGAGCCCTTCAACATGCGGCCTGAGAGACTGGGGACCGATGGTGCAGAGGGAGTCCCCTGCCCTCCTGCCCCAGAGCTCCTACTCAGGCCCCTCCAATTCCCCTCCTCACCCCCCCCGCCCCCCCACCGTCCTGCTCCTTCCTGCCAAGTCCCCTCCTGTGGCGGTTTGGAGAAGAAAACCAGCAATGTCACACCTGTCGTGTTAGATCCCTGGGAACAGGGCAGAGACGGGAGCTTTATCCTCTCATCTTTTGGGAGGATACTGCCGACTGCATCCCCCACAAGCTCTCAGAGACCCCGCCCCACCTCCCAGGGGGCTGATTGGAAGGAAGGTCTCCTAGTTCCTCGGTTACCTCGCCCCTCCCCGCTCCAGCACCATCTGCTTCCCATCTTCTGGGCTGGAATGCAGGACAAATCGATCCAGGGGTGGCAGTGGCAGGGGCTTCAGTGACTGCCCCCTCCCAGCCACCCCCAGCAGCATCTCCTTTCACTGAAATCCACACCATACACCCCTGAGAAAAGGGGGTGGGGACGCTGGAAGCCTAGGTGGCTGCCCGGCAGCAAGCACTCCCGCCCATCTGGGGCAAGACCACGCCCTCCATACATAGGACTGGGGCGGGCGGAACTGGCGGGAGCACGAGAAGCCAGCAGCTGTTGGCAGCTGGCTGGGTCCCTCACTGGAAAGTCAAACCCAGCACCTTAGACTGTGTTTGGATGTCGACACTCAAGTGAGATGCAAATTGGTTGTTTAAGCGGTCACTTCCTCAGTTCTCTAGGCTGTCCATTTAAGTTAATTTTTAATTTGCACAGGCAATAAATGCTTAATTACATTATTAATATATTGGAAGAGAGCAATGGACAGAATGTCCTAATTGGCATTTAACTAGAACGTTCCGGCAAATTAGCCAAGACTTTCTCCGGCAGCCGAAGGAGGGCAAGCCAATTAGTCCCAGGCACAGCCCCATCCCCCAAGATACCAGGAGGCCAGGACACACGTAGCTTTCTAGTTGAGCTAGGCTTTGGAAGGACCTTCTGCTAGTTAGGCTACTTCTGCCCAAACTTCAACCCTTGCCCCTGTGCTCCACCCACACCCTCAGCAGAGCAGAGGACAAAACGCTGGATGGCTTGGAGACAGGATCCACCTGAGAGGCCAAGGTCCCCCTGGGGTGTGCCCACCATTGCCTTACCTCGACTGTGGGCCCAGAACTGAGATAGCTGGGCAGCCAAAGCTCCTCTCTGGATACCAAGGAGTCCTCTCTCCCATCCTCCTTACCTTACCCTCTGCAGATGGTTAAGGGAATGAACTTGATGAATTGAGGGATTCATTTATCCACTCATGCATTCCTTCATTTGGCCACCCTGGGCCAGGCACTGTGCGACCCTGTGACAGTCCCACCCAGAGTCCCTGGTCTCAAAGAATTCAGAGCCTCCAGGATCCTAAACCCCAAAACAGTGCCATGCTGGCCATGGACTGAAGCAGAGCTGTGTGTAAAGTGCCGTGGTAGCACAGAACGGGAATGACTAATTTTGTCTGGGAAGGTCTGAAAGGCTTGATAGAAGAGGTGAATTTTCCCCTGGGCCTTGAAGGATGTGTAGAAGTTCCCCAGACCAAAGGTGTGTTAAGAGTATTCCAGGACGACTTGGAATTTAGCATCTTATATTAATTCTTCTAATAAAAGAGATCGTTCTAGTCCAACACACTCGTTCAGCATGTGGAGAACTGGAGCCTAGAAAGAAAACTAAGGTTTGGTAACCAGACCATCAGAACGCATGCGCTGAATACCCTCAAGGACAAGGCCATGTCCTGGGAGCAGCAGGAGGAGGAGGAATCCAGGGGAAGGGGTGGCACCAGCCTGACTCCCTTGGGGGTATACTAGATGCGACCCAAGGCTCAGTACCCCTCCCCCACGTTCCCAGAATAGGACAAACGCCCATGGGGTGTAAACTGGGCTTTTGGGAGCCACGCTTGGTGTTGAGTGGAACCATCGGTCAGACAGGGCCCATGGGGAAGACTTCCTGGAAAAGGCGGTGTGATTCCGGTCCCGGTGCTGATGTAGTTTTTTCCCACACCACCGAGCAATCAACTCAATTCTAACAGTATTTACCTGGAGGTAGCATCCGATCTCACAGTTCAGGGCTCAGTCGCACAAGACTCCTCCCACTTCAGCTGCTAATCACGAGTCCAGGGTGTTACCTGTGCTTCTGACTGGCTGGCTATAAATCAGAGGTCCCCACGACCCCTCCCTGCGTTCGATTAATTTACTAGCGCAGCTCACAGGACTCAGGAAACCGGTTTACTCGCTAGATTACTGGTTTAGAGTAAAAGGATCCCACTCAGGAACAGTTAAATGGAAGAGATGCAGGGGGCAAGGTATACGGGAAGGGGCGTGGGGCTTCCATGCCCTCCCAGCACCAACCTGGAAGCTCTCCAGACCTGTCCTTCCAGGGTTTTATGGAGGCTTCCTCACATAGGCATGATCCATTAAATTATTGGCCATTGGTGACTGAATTCAATTTCCAGCCCCTCTCCCCTCCGCAGAGGTCAGGGGTGGGGTCGGAAGCTCCAAACTTGGTTCGTTTGCCTGGCACCCAACCCCCATCCCTAGGTGCTTTCCAAAAGCCAGCTCGTTAACATAAACTCAGGCGTGGTGGAAAGGGATGTCCTAAGAATGACAAGACACCTCTCTCACTCTTATTCCTTAGGAAATTCCAAGGGCTTTAGGATTTGCGCCAGGAACAAGACGAAGGCCATATATACACTTCCTGTTAGAAGTCAGAATATCACAGGTGGTATCTGCAATGGTTTTGAGGAATGAGAGGCACATAGGTTGGTGGGAAAATGGAAGAGGAAAGGGCTCTGTGAAAGCTGGAGGAGAGCAGCCAGGCCTTGCTCCTAGACCCCCTCTGTCCTCTCCCCACAGCCAGTCGCTTCTGGGGAGCAACGCTTGGGCTCCAGCTTGGTACTGGCGTATAGGGTCCCCAAACCCTATTTTCTGCCTCGGCTCACAGGCCGGATGGCAGAGCCAGGCCAAATCCCAGTCCCCAACCCCAGCATCAACTCCCAGGTGAGAAGCTGCAAGCACTGCCCCCTTCCCTCCCTCCTCTCTGCCAGCCACACCTTCCCTAGCTGGAGGGCACCCTCGCTTCATTGCCTTGGGCCACATCTAAGCTGGCCCTTCTGGCCAGACTCCTCCCAAGCTAGGAAAGGTATAGGAATGGCCTTGCTTGGCTCAGGAACCAGCCCTAGGGCATCATCAACCCACACCACAGGCTCCATTGAGCCAGGGAACTAAACCCTGGACACACGACCCAAATCACCGGGGGATTTACAAAATCAAATATCCAGGCCCCACCCCCAGGCCAAGAAGGTCAGAGCTCTAGGGTTGGGACCCAGACAGCTGTATTTTCAACAAGCTACCCAGGAGGTTCCAGTGTACAGCCAGAGTCAGAGCCGCCGGTGTGGAGGCAGAGGCCGTCCAAGGTGTCAATCATGAGGAAGAGGCACGTCATGAGGTGGGAAACTAGGACTGAGGGGTGGGTAGTTAGGTGATTCGGTGAGTTAATGCACATAAGAGTTTGGGTGCCAGATATGCTCTATATTGTCACCATCATCAATCATCTTCATCATCGCCATCCTCATCCCCTCTGAGACGGGATCCTGGATGACAGTGACTGCAGTGGAGGCCAGTCCCTGGAGGCAAGTAGGGAGCCAGGGTGGACCCGTGATTGTAACACTAACGAAGCAGGTTTTCTGGGTTTAGAACAGTCCTGAGCGCTTGGCCTCTGGGCACCTGTGAGAGGGAAAGTGGGATCCTGAGTTCAAAGCTCAGGCAGGCAGTCTCGCAGGCCCGCCCCGAATGGGGATGTCGCTCCTCAGTGATCCCACCTTAGAAGAAGCCAATGGGGTTTATGAAGGACAGCGACAGTACCCTTAGAGTCCAGTTAGGCAGATGAGGGGGGACCCTCGGAGAGAGACAGAGAGGGAAGGTGGCACACCGGGCCCCGTATGCCCTTTCCTCCTTGCCCAAGGACTAGCCGAGGGCCCTTCCAGAGCCTTCCCTGAGGAAGGTATTCCATTCCACAGGGAGCAAAGACCTTTGGGGGAATAACTGACTCACAGACCGGCAGGCTGGGGTGCCCTCAGCCTGAACTCCTCCCACCCACTGTCCCCTCAGTTAGTGGCCTCAGCCTCGAGAGAGCCTCCATGGATGAGAAAAGAGTCAGCAAGTGATAAGACCACACAAGCTGCCTTCCTACCAGGCTGTAAGCCCCTGGAGGGCTGGGACCCCATCTTATTCATCCTCGGCACCCAGCCCAGGGTGGACAGAGTGGGTGGTCAGTAAAGGTTGAACCAAACCGAACTCATCCAAGTGAGAGTCAAGAGATCTTGCAGGTGGCATGGCCCAACCTCCCCGAGGCAGGGTTGTCCTCCAGGCATCCCAGGTGCCTCTGGAGAGGGGCACCGCACTGCCTCTAGAGCTAAGCCCTAGCATCAAAGGGTAACTTCTCCATTCAGACAAAACTTCCCTCCCCTAAGTTTCACCCATTGGTCTAGGTATTTCCCTGAGAAGCTACATGATCTGGCCTTCCTAGGACAGTCCTTCACGTATTTGGAGATGATTACTCCCGGCCCAACCTCTTTTTCATATGATTCTCCCT